CAGCCACTCGATGTGTTCCTTTCACGTCGATGTTTTTCTCTCTCTCTCTCCCTCCCACTCTATCTGAACAAAAAATGGAAAAATGTCCTCGGGTTAGGAAGGAAGGAAGGAAGGAAGGAAGGAAGGAAGGAAGGAAGGAAGGAAGGGAGGGAGGGAGGGAGGGAGGGAAAAGCCAGGAAGCTGGCTTTGCTGCTCTTTTCTCACGGTTCAAGTGGAGAGAGAAACGGAACTCTTGGACAAACAGCGAATACTAAGAGGAGAGGTTCTCTGCAGAGTAAGTGCTGATCCATCCACCCAAACTGCATCACCCCCTCGAGCTTCTATCTGTGTGTCTAAGACCCTCTGCACGGACAAGAAAAGAAGAGGAACCAGAGAATGCTCCAGTAAGTACTGGAGAAATAAATACAAACTAAATGAGGTCAAAGGCATGTACCATCACCTTTGAGAGTGTCACTCCCAGGCCAGACAAAACCTACACTGTGGTCAGGAAAGGAAGACAAGTAACAGGACACTAGTGAAATAGAAAAAAATAAGGAAAGAAAAAAGTGACTCAAAGGAGCAAATTGTATTGGTGTGCCTTCTTTCATCTGTTTACTCCACAAATATTTACTGAGCACCTACTACGTGTGAGGGGCCATACTAGAATCTAGAGGAATAACAGTGTACAACACGGTGCTCAGGAGCCGCTGTCCGAGGTGACCATTAAACACAGATGCAGGGTCTCGAGAAAAAAACTCCAAAGGAGCCGTACCAGGAGGGACACAAGCCAGGGCAAAACAAAATGAAGCCATCAATGCCTTGACTCCAAACCCTCCTCTCGCCAAGGAAGCTTTGGGTTTGTTTGTTTGGTGATCTGTTTCCTGGTTTGTTTGTTGTTGTACCCATGGGGACCCAGAGTGGAATGTGATATGGGGCCCATTCTTATCACCTAGACCACCACAATGGCCTAGCCTAGGGATCAGGGCTTCTTGGAAGAACGAATTCCAAGTTGAGACCTCAAGATGAGAAGTTTGTCACTGAACGGGTATCTCCTTATAGGGGAGAAGGAAACCAGGATGATTGGATCACACTACCATGAAATAGTTGAGTCCACAACCTGCTTGGATTCCATGTTTACTAAACAATATTCTAAATATAATCCAGCTTCCCACAGGGAAAGAATGTACTGGTCAAGCAGGCAGTTGTGGTTCTTGTTATAAACTAAAAAGTAAACACCTTGAATTTGAGACTTTCTCTTGTGAGTTGAATCAGCCTCAGTTAGCCTAGCAAGTTAGGACTACGGGACCCTCAGCTGTGATACCTTCACCAGGAGGCGACCACCCTGCCCCTAAAGGGTGCCTTCCTGGGCCTCAGAGTAACAACGTCCCTCGTACGATTTTTAAGGAAACTTTACACATGTTTTCATGAACTTACTTGGCTTTTAAATAAGCAATAAGTTTCCGTTAGCAATCGATTCAACACAGATTTAAAAGAAACTAAAATCAAATTGATGCATCACATACACTTGTACAAAATGATAATTAGACTGAAAATAATCATTTGCGTTAAAACCAACTCTGCGCAAGATAAGCAGGATTCAAATCCTGATCTTTTTCCAAAAAGTGAACTTTATTTTAGCGAAATGAATTCAAGAACCCTCACCACAGGGTATATGATCCACACTGCTATTGCTGGTGTTTTATTCATCTATGATTGAAACAGGAGTATTTATTAAATTACTGTCAACTATATAATAAAGAAAATCTTAAAAGTTCTCCTTCTTCTACAAAAACTTAACTATGGCAGGTAATGGGTTAATCTTCTTAATAGCTAAAGTTGTTTTAAACCAATAAGAAAATACCTACACATAAACTTACTAGAACACCAGCCTAACAAATTCACAAAAAGTTACTATGAATGGCTAAGAGTACTATAAAAAATGTTCAGCCTCACTAGGAAAGCATATTAAAACAAGATACCAGATTAGCAAAGGTTTTTAAAATTTCTGAATACCCAAAGTTGTCCAAGATTTGATTAATGTAAGTTACTACAACTCTTTAAAAAAGAAACTCAGCAACTGAAAATTTTAAAGGTTGAGCCCTTTATTCATAGGCAGTTATCCTAAAAATTTTTTTTAAAAAAATAATTAGACAAACACCCAAAGATGTGTACATGTATAAGGATGTTCATCAGAACAGCAAAAAAATTCTAACAACTCACAGGGAAATAGTGAAATGATTTATGGAACTATTGTGGGATACTGATTCACATTTAATGTCATGAAAAGCAAAGTTAAATCAAGAAAAATAAAACTTTACCCAGTGTAATTTGAATGGGGGGGGGGGGCAGTCTTTGTATAACAACTAGAGACTGAGCCCGGGCCAGTCTGGCTCAGCAGTTGGGGTGTCAGCCCTTGGACCAATGAGTCTTGAGTTAGATTCTGGTCAAGGCCACATACCTCGGTTGCGGTTCATCCTCAGCCCTGGTCAGGGTCATGCGGGAGGTAACTAGCAATGTGTCTCTCTCTCTCTTTCTCCCACTTTATCTGAAGATAAACAGAAAAATATCCTCAGGTAAAGATTAAAAAGAAAAAAGACTGAGAAAATACCCTAATTGTTAGAAGTGATTTGTCTGGCAAGTGTATTACTAGTGATTTTTATTTACTTCTCTACACTTTTCTCTGTTTTCTAAATATGTTACACTGAACATCTGCTTCTTGTATAATCAAGGGGCAAATATAAACTTCCCTTCCTCAAGTCAAAAGGAAAAAAAACTTCAGATGTACTCTAAATTGCAGTTTAAAAATAAGTTTCATTCTGGAAAATTAAAGATGCATAGAAAATAGAATTAATCTTTGCCTGTAATATTAGCATACATTTAAATAAAATCTAATTAATTAAGTACTTATATACCAGTTGGCTCATTTTACAAAAGTATGTGTACCTACTACGTATAAGATTTTGTATGGAACCCAGAGATAAGTAAGAGATAGCCCAGCCTTCAAACAACTAAAATTGTATAACTAAGCCATGTATGTAAACATCTGTAGTCTTGGACAGGCGGTTCTAAGAGCTGGACTTCTAATAACCAGTTTTATCAAAGCGCTACATAAGAGCATAGAAAGTGAAACATTTGAATTATTCTTCCCTTATAATTTCATCTAAGAGAATCCCTGTATTACAAACCCTTCTCTCTGTGGTCCCATAAAGAGACAAAGATGGTTGCCTTGGCCAGTTTGGCTCAGCAGTTGGAGCGTCGGCCTGCAGTCCAGAGAGACCCGAGTTCGGTTCCCGCTAAGGGCACGTACCTCGGTTGCAGTTTGTCCCCGGCCCTGGTTGGGTTGTACGGGTGGCGGCCACTCAATGTGTCCCTTTCACGTCAATGTTTCTCTCTCTCTTTCTCTTCCTCTCTCTCTCTCCCACTCTATCTGAACAAAAAATGGAAAAATGTCCTCAGGTGAGGATAAAACAAAACAAAAAAGAGACAAAGATGGTTGGTTGCCTTATACAGCAGTCATTCAACATAGTGATGACCTGCAAACACTCTGCTGAAACCGAAATCCAACCACATATCCTGAATTTCCTCTTCAGATCCTGGAAGTCTTAGGATTCAACCTGGCTTGTGTAGCGTTTTGTTTGCTTGCGGGGAATGTTGGCACCAGCACCTGGGCCTCTTGCAGCTACTTTTCTCAAATGAGTTCAAATAAGTCCCCTAACTTGAGAAGCAGGAAAATTATCCAAAATGTGAATTAAAAGAACCTTGACATGACCTAACTGCCAGCCCCTGGTTTATGAAACAAGTGAGAAACCAAACCGGTTCAATGGAAAAGGCATAGTTGGCAAGAGTATGTATTTAGTGAGAACATCCTAGCCAGTTAACTCTGAGGCAGGCTAATTCAGTCACAGAAAAAGAAGAGAAAAGACAAAATATCTTTATATTGCTCCTAAAAACTCATATTACCTTAAAATAAAGAAAATAACGCCCGGCCGGTGTGGCTCAGTGAACTGAGCCCCATCCCAGACACTGAGAGGTCCTGGTTCGATTCCCAGTCAGAGCACATGCCCAGGTTGCGGGCTCGATCCGCAGTAGAGGGCATGCAAGAGGCAGCCGATGGATGTTTCTCGCTCACATCAATGTCTCCATCTCTCCCTCCCTTCCTCTCTCTTTAAAATATCAATGAAAACATATTCTTTTAAAAAGAAAATATGGATTCTAAAGCCTGGAAGGATGGAGAAGACGGACCTCGGTGTGGATCTCACCTGTGCTTAATAAATGTTTTCAATGATGCTTAGATAATGGATGAGTTCTTATGGCCACGGCTCAATATTTAAGTTTCTCATTACTGACCGTGACATGATTTCCTTTTTCCTCACGAAATGGTAGAAGAAATTAACTGTATAAACACGGCCAAAGCTTTTGTTCTAAAGCACGCAGTATGCAACCATAAGAAAAGACACTTCTGAAGCTGACAGTCTAAACGAGCCGATTCCAACCCCTCGCTGCACATGAACCACCGCTGCACATGAACCACCGCTGCACTGGACGGCAGGGGCTCTGAACACACAATGGCTCTCCTTTCAAAACCACCTTTTCCAATGAATCCACTTGTTCCTAAAATAATACTCATCCCCGTAATGAATTCAGGGCTCCTCCTACTATCCCAGTGGGTTTCATTGTGCACATTTGCTTCACAAGTCCTGGTTCCTGCTTCTGCTCTCTTAGCCAAGAGCTACACAGAAAGATAATAAAAGCAGCTAACTTTTATTAAGACCTTACTGTACGCACTGGGCCAAAAGCATATGCACCTTAACAGACCTATGAGGGAGGTACCTTGGTTATCCTCAAGATGAGGACCCTGATACTTAGAAGGATTTGAAAACTCGCCCAAGACCTCACAGCTCATAAGAGGCAGAATCAGGATTCAAATCTGAGCTGAGTCTAGAGCCTACCTGCTCCAACCCTCGGATAAAAACATTGCTTAAATCTGGGATCTGGTTCCCTGAGTTGGCACATTCACTCACCTGCCCCATCAGGAGTGATGGTTCCCAGTTTCACAGCTAGAGGGTAGCCCATGTCTCTGTAATGCTCCAGCGCGTGCCCATTGCCCCCAGAGCTGTCAAAGAACCACTTCCCACACAGCACGGAGCCATCGGTGAGATTCAACCAGAGGTTTTCCCGCAGGTCACACCTGGCACACTTCCAACCACTGGAAAGTCATTGGAGAACAGTTAGTACAGCTGGAATACAAGGCATAATTAGAAAATTTACATCGGAGGAACAAAATGTCTCAAGCTGGGGCCACAGTAAATGAGCAATGGAGATATCTGCGACCCTCCCAGAGCAGCAGGACCCCTCAGTACCCTGCCTGCCACCAGAGGGCGACCAGCTTCTACCACCCCCTCCACGAAGGCTCTTTGACATTAGAAAACTAACACGGAACCTGAGGACAGAAGGGAAGGTCATGTCCTTAAAATTCCTACGGGAGGGACCATGGAGCTTGAATAAGTTTAAAACATTAAGGATTCCATGTATATAAGCATCTAAAATTCAAAAGCATTAACCACACCTAGGAAAACTAGTTTAAACCAAACCCTACTAGATGGCAAATCTAAATTAAGTAAAAAGGAAATCAACCTAACCATAGAATAAACGTCAGGTATGTGCCAGGTACTTACAGAAGCGCTATCATTCCATCCTAATAAACACCCCTCAGCATCAGTGTTACCATCCCCACTGTGAACAGGAGAAACTGAGGCACCGTGCCTTCGCTAAGACCGCACAGAACAGGACTGCAGTACAGTTAGGGTTCAACAAGGCTGGACATGTTCCTAATCTGTCTGTTCTTCTAGCACCTGCCTCTGGAAACACACCACTACCCACAGGACAGGCTGACGTGGCCCAGGGAGCACCAGCCGAAGACATGACGACCACGCTGGGTTCCCTGAGAAACAGACTCAGACAAAAATGGGAATGCAAATGGCTGTTTGGGAGATGATTCCAGGAAGCACCACGGGGAAGTGAGGCTAGAAAGGGCAGGAAGCACCATGGGCAGTTGGGGCTCAGTCCAGCCGGGGAACTCCAAGAGACAGGTATCCCACCTGAGCGGTGGGGACCTGGCGTATTTACCCAGCCACTCCACAGTCACTGGCTGAGGGCTGTTCCAGGACAGGAAGGAGCATGAACTCCACAGCGTTTCTGACGGTCCCGTGCACAGGCCTACCGGCTTCGGCAGGCAGAGAAGCCCTCAAGCAAAGAGCTGCAGGTGCTTGCAACAGGGGGCCGTAGGGGGAGGACAGGGTCAGGTATGGGCCGGCCATGTTCAGCATCTACTACTAAGGTACAGAGTTCAGAGACAATTTTCTTTTCATTTTTATTTATTGCTTGGGGGTGGGGGGGAAGAAAGATCAATTTGTTGTTCCACTTATTTATGCATTCGTTGGTTGATTCTTGTATGTGCTCTGACTGGGGATCAAACCTGTAACCTTGGGGTACTGGGACAACACTCTAACCAATGGAGCTACCCAGCCAGAGCCTAGAGAGAATTTTTGAGATTTTTTTTTATTCCTCACCTGAGGATATTTTTTCCATTTATCTTCAGATAGAGTGGGGGGAGGTGGAGGGGAGAATTTGACATGAGAGGGACACATCGACTGGTTGCCTCCCATAAGACCCCACAGGACTGGGGAGGAACTGCAACCAAGGTACGTGCCCTTGACCGGAATCGAACCCGAGACTCATTGGTCCGCGGGCCAAAGCTCCAACCACTAAGCCAAACTGGCCAGGGCTTGAGTTTATTTTTAATAAAAGGCATGTGATAAGAAAATATACTAACTGCTAATCCAGACAAGAGGTAGAAAAGTAGGTATTCTTTTGGTCAGTTTTCAGGGGTAACATTCCATTTCCCTATCTGACTCTCACCTTGGAGGAATCCTGACCCCATTGTCCAACTGGGTGAGGTTATTGGCATACTTGGATACTGGCAATTCATTTTCCCATGTGTCTGGGTCCTGCTTTCTGTATGGAGATTTTGAGCTAAGAACTGCATCACAAGCAATTGTTACCTGTAAGACAAACCCAAATGCAATATATTAAAACAGGTCAAGAAAATAGCAACTTCTATAAAATAAATTTAAAAGTTTATTTAAAACATAGCTTAGTCTAAGAAAATTCAAATGGTACAGTTACCACAAAAGCAATATCCTAGTTTCCTGACTCCGGCATTTTCTCCCTGGATCTAGCTGGGTTTTGTCTCCGGCCTGGAGTTTTTAGTATTGACAGGGGCACAAGATAGCAAGGAAGAAAATCCAGTTTGTAAGCCCAAGCGCAAGAATCAAGTTTAAAAATCCCTACCTCTTAGCAAGCACAGTGAAAAGTAAAAGGTGAACAATTTACAAAGGTGAAATTAGCTACGGGAGCGCCTAGGATTTACCCAAGTGGTGTGTTTTCCTCCTAACAAATATACACCCAGATATTCAATATCCTCAACTCATCACACAGTGGCATGTGGTCAAGGACACTTGAATGGAATGCAAGCAGCAAGGCTTCATTACTTAATCAGGTGCAAATGTGACTCTGGACAGGGACGTGCCTGGGTGTCTCTTGTGCCAGATCAGTCCACATTATGAGCAAACCTGTGACGTTCAGCTGGTACCAACTGACTGGGAAGGGGGGTGAGGGGCAGAGAGGACAGATTCTCTGCTTTCTCCCAAACCCAACTGATCTCGGACATATGCCTATCATCACATTTGCTATTTGCTTAATGATATGTCATTTCTGGCTGTCTTAAAAAACATATTCTGGTGGGAACGTAAAATGGTGCAACCACTTTGGCAAATAGTTCAGCCGGTCCTCAAATGGTGAGAGTTACCATATGACCCAGGAATTCCATTCCTAGGTATACACCCAAGACAAGTGAACATATGTATCCACACAAAAACATACACATGCCCTGGCCAGTTTGGCTTAGCAGTTGGAGCATCGGTCCGTGTACTGAGGGATTACAGGTTTAATTCCTGGTCCCAGTCAGGGTCATGCAGGAGGCAACCAGTTGATGTGTCTCTCTCACATCGATGTTTCTCTCTCTCGCTCCTTCCTTCCCACTCTATCTAACAGAATCGATGGAAAAATATCCTCAGGTGAGGATTAAAGAAACAACAAAACAAAACAATGTGTACACAAATGTTCATGGAAGCATTATTTGTAATAGCCAAAAAGGAGAACCATCCTGAATGTCCACTAATGTTAAATGGGTAAGTAAACTGTCATACGTGTGTACAACGGACTGTCATTTACAATAAAAAGAAATGGAGTTCTGATGCATGCTACAAGATGGAAAAAACCTTGAAAATAGGTGCTAAGTGAAAAAAAGCCAGCCACAAAAAAACATGTGTTATATAATTCCACTTAAATGAAATGTCCACAGTAGGCAAATCCATAGAGACAGAAAGTAGACTAGTGACTGCCAGAGACCAGAGGGATGAGGTTGAGAGGTGATGGCCGTGGAGTAATGAAAATATTCTAGAATGAGATAGTGGTGATGGATGCCCAACTCAATATAATAAAAGCCACTGAATTGTTAAAAATAAAATTTTTAAGCAAAAATTTGTATTCTATATCACTGACATCCTGCACAATTAGCTGAACTTCATGCGGAATCTTTTCCCCTGGATAGCACTGACTGATACTAGAATTAACACACCGTGGAGGAAGTCCCCTCAGCTGCCATGCCACCCGATCCAGCCCATGAGAAATTCCTATCAGCCCTACATCCAAAACCTCGTGGGAACCTACCTTTCCTCGATTTTGACATACCACCCAAGTTCCAACACCATCACAGCTCACCTGGATGGCCACACAGCAGGCCCTGACAGTCTCCTTCCTCCAGCAGCCAGAATGACCCACTATGAATAGCAGATCCCATCCCTCCCCAGGTTAAAACTCTCCGGGTTATAGTGAACACTTCCAGCGGATGACACTGGGTGAGGCACAGTCAGGAATAAGGAGAAGTTTCCTGCCCTCAAAAAGCTTTTACTCCGTGATATATCAGGCATCCATAATTTAAAACCTTTTCTCAAAGATACTCCCATTCATCTCTCACCACAAGTGTTGCTATATAATTACCCTTTCCTTTCAATTATCAAAATTCATCTCTTATCCCCCTACCAGAGCTGGCCCTGGAGAACTGGGCTGAGTTCCCCACCAGCCCCTTCCTGATTTTACGGGTTTTTTCTGCCTCTGCACTCCTGACTGCGCATCCTGCTCCTTTTCGTCTGCTCTGCTGTTACAACCCCCTTCTTGTTTCGCTGTCTTCCTCAAGCCCTCCCCAGTCCTCGTCTGAATCTTCTCTGCCCACCCGATCGTTAAGCATTCTGGTGTGCAATGCGCACTGTTTTTTCATTGAAATTTGGACACGATATTTCTTTTCTTTGAATATCCTTCCTTATGCCACTCAACAAAAATTTCCTCAATTCTGGGCCACTAAAAAACACTGATCTAGTGTTTTCAGAACATTATCTAAAATCACTTAGAGGTCCTTGGATGGATCATCGCTGAAGGTCAGGATACGTCATCCTGTAAGTATCTTTCCCTGGGTTTGTTATTGGGTGAAGTGAGAGACCTTGTTGCTAGTCCTGGCTCTATCCCAAGTCTCCATGGGCCTCAAGTTCAGTGGGTTCTGGAACCGGCTCAAACAGGCTCACAGACTTGATTGTTAAACGTTAAGAAATTCTTCTTTTTTTTTTAATCCTCACCCGAGGATATTTTTCCATTTTTTGTACAGATAGAGTGGGAGGGAGAGAGAGGAAGGGAGAGAGAGACAGAAACATCGATGTGAAGGGACACATCGAGTGGCTGCCACCCGCACGACCAACCAGGGCCGGGGACAAACTGCAACCGAAGTACATGCCCTTAGTGGGAACCAAACCCGGGTCTCTACGGACCGCAGGCCGACGCTCTAACCGCTGAGCCAAACCGGCCAGGGCAATGTTAAGAAATTCTTTACGATGGTTGTTAAACACAGCTATTACTAAAAATCAAATGATATAAATTTACCACTAAATAAACTACATTTATCAAGGCAGCAAATATTTAAAACACTTTGTAATGGTTTTACTATAGCTCACTTTATCTCTGGTCTCTTGGCGCTATTTACATCGACATTGTGGGAACGGTGGAAATCCTTTATAAGGGCGTGCTACCGCGTATGTCTTCCCAACACTTTCAGCCACAGTGGCAGTATTCACCCCGCCAGCTGAGCAAACTCTGCAAAGCAGGGCGTTTCTGCAGGGAGCTAGCTGGTTGCTAACCATCTACAGGCACATCCCTGCTGAGCTCCTGAAGTCTGAAGCGCGGTACCGGATTCCACATCAGAAACTCCCTACTGAGCCCCAAACGCTATGTCTCTGTGCACCTGCAGGCGAAGAGGTAGTTTAACTTTTTGGTAGAATCTGCAGGGTAACTATATGAATTGAATTTTTCCAGTGCTGAGAAGTTCAAGGGATGAAGGAAGGGCAACCTGGTTGGGTGATTTTGAGCTCAATAACTTTGTTCTTTCAAAGAAATTTTTAAACACGAAAATGTCACAAAAGCATGCAAAGAAAATGTAGTATTGATAAATCCTATCAGTTACCATCAGATAAATCCAGGCTTGTCCTTCAACCTCCCATTCCAAATAATTCTCTGTTCTTTTTCAATTCTTAAAGTAGTTCTTAAGTCTAAAAGACTCTGTATGAAAAGTTATGATGTACACTGCTGGATTCAGATTTCCATGTCACTGCACTTTTAAACAGAAGTGTTCGTACTTTGAATTATGTTCTGAGCATGGGAATAATTTAAAGTATTTAGAGACTTTTTTATTAAGTTTTTCACAGACTTTTCCTTCATAAGTGAACGGGAGGAAAACCATTTCCCATGACATTCATTCACAATGTGCTGCTTCTCTCCTGACGGCAGACGGGCTGTTAGACAAGGGCAGTAAGAACTCTCAGCGCTACGAAGATATAAGCTGCAGTGTGTAATTCCAGGCAGCGGGACGAAGCAAGACCGCTTTTCCACGCCTCTGCTTTATCCTTGGTAAGAGCCACAAGTCCACAGGGGGAATCGGAGAAAGCAGAGCTAATCTTATTCTGTATGCCTCGCTAAAGGTGTGCACTTGCAACTAAAAGGATATGGTGCATGTGATCATTAGAGGAAAGAGCTACAAGCCTAAATACAGAAAAGTTTCATCTCTATGGTCTTATACTTAGGTATACAGTAAGTGAGGGGCAAAAGAGGTGGAATGGTGGAAACCTGACCCCTAATGACATGGGAACCCCAAGCACAAACGGCCCCTCTCGGGAGGGACAAGTGAGCAGGTGGTGGCAGACAGGGTCACACAAAGTCCTGAAGACTCTGGGACCTAAAGACCTGGCTTTGGCCCTGGCAGAGTTTGAAAGGGGAAGCATGAACAGGCATGTCTACACTCAAACGGCCCCTGTCCGCTGCCCCATGGTTCTGAGGCCAGACTCAGGACTGCGAGAGCACACAGAGTGGGAAAGAGGAAAGAGGACAAAAGCAAGAAGGAGGGAGTGGCAGAGGCAGTACAGGAAAGGAGGACAGAACAGGAAACCGGTTAGGGTCCCGCAGGAACTCTGCCCCCTCCCAGGACTCCAGCATCGAAGTGAAGCCGCCTGGCAGCCTCCACCGCCGCCGCCCCGGCTCTACGTTGCTCAGGAAGATGAAAGTTGCTCCACAGAAAAGAAGGAGGAAAAAAACTCACCACTAAATCTAAGTCCCCAAACCTAGAAAGTAGCCCTCATCCTCAGGAGGAACCACGCGGAAAAGTGGGTTCACATCACCGCAGAGCTGCGGCAGGCCCGGGACGTGGGCAGAGTTGGTGTGTTTATCATCGTCCTGCTGCTGTTTCAGCAGAACTCTTATTTTATCCCAAACAAAATCCTGCATGAAAGGCCAACATGCAGACGAGATAAAAACGCATGTTGGCCCAGCCGCTGCACATCTCGGGGCAGGTCTGAAGAATCTAAGCACCAGACTGCGAGTCACGGGCAGCAAGCAGCAGACCCGGGGGAGGCCGCCCAGGAAGCCCACAGCCCCGAGGGAACAGGCAGCGGAGGGTACACAGGCCGAAGCTGCTGAGCCGAACCCTGCAAGCCTTCTGCACAGCTCCTTCTTCTCCTCCTCCCCCATTCAGCCCTCCCCACCCAAGGGCACACACGCTGCACACGCACACACACCTGACACAGAGAGCCACGCGCATCTAGCTAGCAGCCGTGCACACTCACTGACCAGGGCAGGTAACTCCTCAATATTTGGTAGTGCTATTTCATAGTGGTCTGGGAATATAACAAGTTTGGCTTCATCTTCATATTCATAATCGTCGCTATTTAAATCGTCATCAGTATCTAGATCTGAGGAGAAAACAAAAACAAAGAACAAGACGTGAAGAAAGAACATTCCACACTAAGGCAGCACTCACTGGGGAAGCCAGACGTCCACAGGGATGACAGACTGAGGGCAGCACGCTGACCACTCCCTCCTCTAACACGACCATCCACCTGCCCCAGACCAGGACACAAGGCCCTTCCACCTGCCCTAAGTCATGAGCACTTACTTAGAAGTGACAGACATACGAAGCCCGAGTCCTATCATACAGCTTTACAGTTAAACATAGGCAGAGAGGGTGCATCATGATTTGTCAGGTACCTGGTTCTTATTTCACAAGAATGGTTTGGAATGTTTTTCCCAACACTGTAATATGGACGAAAGCACATGGGCTTCAGAGTCGATAAACAAAGGTTCAAGTTTGGGTCCAAAAATTAATGTTACTTTGGGCAAGTCATAAACTCCCTAAGTCTTAGTTCCCTCACTTGTACAATGGAGGTAATAACACTTATCTCACACACTTTATATGGGGAATAAATAAGAAACATATACAAGAGATCTGGCACAGAATAGGTCGTCAATAATAGGAGCTATTATTGAATAATAAAATTTCCATTTCCCGCTTTTTCTCCCTCCCCCTCTCACCCTCCTCCCCTCTGGGAGTTGTTGAGATACTGGACAGTACACCAGAGCGGGAAACTCCATCATACAAACAGTCCTGTTGACCTCGGGCTGTGAACAGTTTTCAGTAAGGAAGATGAGGTCCTCTCGGCTATGTCTGTCAGGTCATCGCCTCTCTTGGCCCATCTCTGGTAAAGGTTAGATGAAGGCTCAAGGAAATGTCTTGTCACATTAGTTACATGGACATTTCAGCCTTGTGTTCACATGATACCAGCACCCCAGGTCATGTCTGTGTATTTACATGTTTGGAACTACGGTGACAAAGAGCTACGGAGCCACATTCCACTCACACACACACAAAGCCACACATAGACCGGTACACAAACATGAGTTCTATGGACAGGAGGAAGTGATGTTACTGGTAAAGCAGCCAGCTGCAAACCAAAGGTTCTAGATTCTGTTACGACCCTGTTGTTTGCCTCCAACCAAAAACCTAGTATCTTTTTGTGGACAGCTCTGCTCTTGAATTCTCAAAGGGAGGACGGTTTTAAGTAGAAAATGAGATACAGCTAAAACACAGTCTAAACATTTTAGTGAAGGGTCCTACATGACAAGTCTCAGAAATGCCCAAATAGAGAAACAAATACATTGTTAGATAGCCATAAGAGGTTCGTTTCACAAAAAGCAACGTTAAAGAAGATTCTAAGAATTGAAGCGGTAACTAAAGGCATTTATTTCAAGGAAATGATTCAAAGATAGATATTCTGTGTTATAAAAATTTGAATGCCCCAATATCTGTAATAAAAAAACAGAAAATCTAAATGTTCAATGAATATGGTGCTCAACCCAATAGACTATTACTCAAATGTTATTTATTTAGAGTAGGTAGAAACATGAAAATGTTTATGCTATGTTAACGCTAAAAACACAAAATCATTTTCACTATAAAGACAACTTTGTAGAAGTTATGCTCATAGACAAGAACTGGAAGGAGCCCGGCCGGTGTGGCTCAGGGGTTGAGTGTCCACCCAGGCACCAGGAGGTCGCCAGTTCAATTCCCGGTCAGGGCACATGCCCAGGTTGTGGGCCCGATCCCCAGTGGGGGTATACAGGAGGCGGCCAATCGATGTTCTCTCTCATTAATGTTTCTATCTCTCTCTTCCTCTCCCTTCCTCTCTCTCTAAAATCAATAAAGAAAAAAATTAAAAAACAAAAAAAGAACGGGAAGGAAATCTGAGCAAATGAAAATAGTGGGTGAACTTTTCTCTATTTTTAAATTTTCCTTTATTATATTATTTAAAATAATTTTAAATAACCAAAGTACAAATCTTTTGTTTTATGTATAGCGTCAGCTTATATAACATTCTATGTAGGTGTTTCTTTTCCACAGAAAACATACTCACTTAATGTTAATTCAAATCTTACCTGGCCAAAAACAATGATAAACTAAGTCCAAGAAAATCCCACCCTGACATTCACTGGGCAAGTTCTTTCCAAGTTCATGTTCTTCACAAGTAAGCTATGGATAATACTATCTACTCCACAAGATTATTGAGAGGATCTAACAAGGTAAGATTTTAAGGCACTTAGTATAGGACCTGGCAGGTCTTAGGGGCTCCACAGAACAGCTGAATCACCTCCATCATCCCCATCACCACCTTCTCTACACTCCTAACAACATGATCAAAAGTGCCTTCCCTTCCTTTTGGCTGCCCCAGCTCCAAAGCATCCCTGGAATGGATTTCAGGAAGAGCAGGGTGTCACGTGGAGGTCTGCCATGTGTGCTGGCTGTGGAGAAGGTATGAACTGCGAACGTTTCCAGACTGAGGTGCAAGAGCAGGACACAGGTCGCAGTCACCTTCCATATCCCCGGCCCCTGCACAGGGCCCAGCACACACCACACACTCAGCACATGTCTGTGAGAGGAGACTTTACCATGTAAAAACCCCACCATGCTAAGGACAACAGCAAAGTAAGAGCATCAAAAGGGTTGCTATGGTTTGGAGGGGATTTTGATTGGTAACGGATGTGTGTTTTAAAAGAAGCAAGACTCCTATTGTGAAGGGGAAAAAAGCAGAACCTTGTTGGGCTCCTTAACACTTAGTTTATAGTTCAGTTTTTTGGTTTTTTTTCTCTAATTTTTTTTTTGTTTGTTTTGTTTTTGTTGTGTTTTTTTTTTTTTTATCCTCACCCGAGGACATTTTTCCATTTTTTGTACAGATAGAGTGGGAGGGAGAGAGGGGAGAGAGAGAGAGGGAAACATTGATGTGAAAGGGACACATCGAGTGGCTGCCACCCGCACGACCAACCAGGGCCAGGGACAAACTGCAACCGAGGTACGTGCCCTTAGCGGGAACCGAACCCGGGTCTCTCCGGAACGCAGGCTGATGCTCTAACCGCTGAGCCAAACCGGCCAGGGCTATAGTTCAGTTTTATTTCTAATTCAGTGGAATAGAAGGAACCATGAGCTTTCCCAAACATCTTAACCCAAATTATAGAAAGTAAACGGAAGGAACCTACACTCTGATTTTAGGGGACAAATCTAAGGTTTCTCCTGAATATATATGACCCCACAATCCTAAGTATAAATCTGTAATTTCCAAATTTCTCTAATTAGAGTCTCACCACCCCAAAAATATCTAGCTGAGAAACCTACAGAGTAAGCATGCCCTAGTAGGACTGGGACCCCCAACTTCTCCCAGCAGTCACTTCCCCTCGTGGCTAGTCACCGGTAATACCTGGATGGGCTCTTCCTACATTTAAAAAACTTTTTTTTTTTTTTTTTAATTCCCCAACTCTACTTCAGTGATCCTCTCAGATCCCAGGGAGAAGTGGCTGAGATCACACCCATTGCCAGGAACTGACTTGCCTACACGACAAAGCAGCCCACTGAGGAGCGGACCCCTAAGGAAAAGCGGGCCCTGAAGCCCAGCTCAGGGTCCTCTCGGCCTGACCATGCCCACTTGACTTGTGAGCTGGAGGCAGCAGTCTGGCTGGCCCAGGGCTGTGCAATCTGACCAGCCACTTCCTCTTGAAAGAAGGGACGGGAAAGCCCTTGAGTGCAGACCCTGCTCAGGAGGAAGGGCAACACGGAATCTACTCGAACCGTCCAGTCATGACAGGCACAGGTGAGCTTTCGGAACAGACCCATCCCTGGCGCTTTCCACAAACACTCTCTTTGCCACCTGTTTCTCATCAAGTATGAGTGCCAGGGCCAAAGCCAAAAAAATGGACCTGAAGCTCCCTGAGGCCGAGAAGCTCTTTGAAATCCCAGCCTTCGGACACATGCACTAACTCATGCACTCCTGTCGATGAATGTCAGGAGGGTGGGGTGCTTAACAAAATATGAATATTTCACACTATTTTGAGGACCTACCAAAGATACGGTCATTTTTATGACATGCATTAGCAGTTATTTATACATTTATACACCTTTGTAACTTTGCTGAAAAAAACATATAAGATTAGTACAGAATCACGCCCTGAGTCCCGGGGTATTTCTTTGAAGATCTCAGACTCCCTTACATCCCTTCCTCTTTCTTTCCATCTCATAAAACAGTGTTTTCCATCAGCCTATTCCCCAAATTCACAACCTGTCCTATTGTTGTAAGTCATCTTTCTAAAAGACAACCTAATAGTGTCCCTTTCGGCTTGAAACATTGATGCAGAGCTACCCACATTTTCTTAGGTCCCAGCATCTCAGTAATTCTTACATAGCAACAGGAAGCCAAACACAAAACAAAAAAGGCCTAGCCCTGGCTGGTTTGCCTCAGCGGTTAGAGCGTCGGCCTGCAGGCCAAGGAGTCGCGGGTTCAATTCCAGACAAGGGCATGTAACTCAGCTGCGGTTCATCCCGGCCCTGGTCGGGGTCACGCAGGAGGCAACCTGTCAATGTCTGTCTGTCTGTCTCTCTCTCTCTCTCTCTCTCACTCTCTCTCTCTCTCCCTCTTTCTCTCCCCATCCCACCCTCCCACTCTATCTGAAGATAAATGGGAAAATGCTCTCTTAGTGATGATTAAAAAAAAAAAACAAGGGCCCTGGCCGGTTTGGCTCAGCGGTTGGAGCGTCGGCCTGCGGTACAGAGAGACCCGGGTTCGGTTCCCGCTAAGGGCACGTACCTTGGTTGCAGTTTGTCCCCGGCCCTGGTTGGTCGTGCGGGTGGCAGCCACTCGATGTGTCCCTTCACAACGATGTTTCTCCCTCTCTCTCTTCCTCTCTCTCCCTCCCGCTCTGTCTGAACAAAAAATGGAAAAATGTCCTCGGGTGAGGATAAAAAAAAAAAAAAAGGCCTAGTAGTTCTGTTTATCTGAACAACTCAATAAGTATTTATGTTCCAACTACTTAGTTACCATTTGAAAAAATAAATTGAAAGAAAAAAAATGTTTTATTTCTTAAATAGCCACAGTTCCTTACGTAGGGGACAAGTGCACCTGTTGGGTACTCCACAGCTACTCTTTGTATCCGACTGGACGCTGCCTCCCTTTTCCCTTCCCATTTATGGTCACACGGTGCTTGCCTTTTACCACAGAAACCACCCAAAGACCAGCTTCACCGAGAGATGAAGTCACTGAAAGGAATACCGAATACCCTAATAATGAAACTACAAGAGCTAATGGTTCATGCAGTGTTCAAGCATCACTGTGTTCCCTTGAAGAGTTAAAATATCCCGAGGTGCACCTGTGAATCTGCTGCACACCCCAGTTGCCTCAGAGCACAGTTTGGAAACCAAAGTGTTAGTGGCTCACCACTACCTACAGAATAAAGTCTAAAAGCATGCTATATGTATAGACTATGACTGGAAGACTATACACGATATATAAGGATGTACTAACAGAAAATGCTAGGTCTCTGGGGAGACTAACCAAGGAGCTGGAAGACATGGGAGAGAAAGAAAATTACTCTTCATTATAGAGCCTCTTACAGCTTTGCAGTTTTAAGTTTTGTCTATGTGTTATACATTCACAAATATTTTAAAATCCTAAATGCAAAAGGAAACATAATACGTAAATTATTCAAATGTTACCCATAGTTGTCATTGTTGGTTAAAAAAAAAAAATCACCAGCAAAAACTAGGGAAGAATCCTTAACTGTGATTTCATTGATGAGTATCAAGGCAATCGGAAGAGGAACCTGACTGTTGAGGGCAGGATGGTGCTCAGGAGACTTGGCGTAAGCCATTCAGCACCAGTGAATGGCCTTGGTTTCCCTTATGAAACCAATATTGAAGGTCATAACTGAATGAGTCAATGGTTTCAACGTGCTTGTTAAACCAAAAGAAGAGGCATTATTCACAAGTTATCAAGTGAACCTGGAGAAATGCCTGTCTCCAGGAGAAAGCATTAGTCATCTACATCTGTTCATGAAGGAGAAGGGGCATCACAACTACATTTCAATAGCAAGTGAAAAAGTACTTCTTATTCCAAAAAACAAGAGAGACCGCAAGAGTCCTGATTCCCTTTCTGTCCATGAAGAGACACCCCACGTCCCTTTTAGGGAAGGAATCTGTGGCAGAAGATACTAGCTGCCTCCTGGTATCCATTCTCCTCTTCTTGCTTAATAAAAGACTTTACTTAGTGAAGCCAGTTAACAGACTCTACTTTACAGTCTCCTGTGCAGCACCTGGTGTGACCATGTGTCCAAGTTCTGACCAGAGAGGTGTAAACTGAAGTGCTGCTTGAGGATCTGTGAGAAGGCCAACAAAAATAAGTGACTCCATTGGGAGATGAGATTTTTGTCCTTCCCCCTTCATGTTTCTTGCTTTTCAGAATAGGAGTGTGATGACTGGAGCTCCAGCAGCCATTTTGCACCATGAAGTAACCATGAGGTTAAACATCACAGGCCTGGACGGAGGGTGACACAGAAACAGGGAAGAATCTAGATTCTAACAGAACATGAGGCTGTCACATCAGCCTGGTCCTGCTGCTTCCCCACATCCTCTGCATGAGAGAGACATAAACAACTATCTTCTTTAAGTTTTCTATTACATTAGCCAGACGTAATCCTGATACAGTCCTTCACTGCAGTTCATTTACAGGCCATATCAACTTGAAAACAGAGCTGTGACCAGGGTGACAAGAGAAAAGAGCCTCTGCTGGAAGATATGTAGCATCAGCGGAGAAGGCTGTCAATGAGAGATTGCAAAACCAAGTTCTTACTGGGATGAAGTAGCTACGATAAATTTGTGAAGCATCAGGTGTAACACAATAGAGAGAAATGGCCTGCAGCAAGCCCCAGAGTGCTAATCAGGTTCAAATTTGATTTTTTTAAAAACTGGTATAGTCCAAATAGGACATTTGTTGCTGGTCTGTGAGTTTCGGCACATCGTGTCTTCTGAGATTTGGGATGCTGGGTGCAGAGAAGCCTGTCAACAATGAGCTGGCGAGCTAGCGCTCCCGGGAGCCACGGAAGGGTCCGCACAGAATGAGCACACACTTCAGCGCGTACTGTTGGGTTAACGTTTTGAAACAGTTCCTTGACCACATCATCTACCATCCAAATGATCATGAAGAAATCAAACCCCAAAGTCTTTTGAGTAAAAGAAACAAGGTTAAAGATGGAGAATAAAAGCAGGAAGAAAAATCAGCTCTATGACTGTTTCCAGTGGCTTTACTTTTCAAATAAGGAATACAGTTTTTTTTTTGGTTACAACAGTAACATACTTTTGTTATGAAAAAAAATTAAAAACAGATAAGCAAAAAGAACATAAAAATCACCTCAATCACACACCAGAAAATAACTACTTTGAACAATTTGGAGTATATTCTGCCAGACTCTTGCAGACTCTCAGTCATATATGCATAGGTGTGTGTGTATATAAACACACGTTTACATTCAGATATGTACACACAAATATAGATATGCGCGCCCATATACAGACATATTTATATATACAGGATGGGGCAAAGTAGGTTTATGGTTGTGAGTACATGAAACACAGTTTATTTTTTTATTTATTTATTTATTTATTTATTTATTTATTTATTTATTTATTTATTTTTGTACATGCCCTTAGTGGGAACCGAACCCAGGACTCTCTGATCCGTGGGCCGATGCTCTAACCACTGAGCCAAACCGGCCAGGGCATGAAACACAGTTTATTATTGTTGATTAATTACTGCATTATTTTCCATATAAACAACTTATACACGTCTATGTGTGTGTGCAGATTTTTTAGTGGGCAAAACCTCAAGGAGAAACAAGATATTAGCATAGTCTCCAAATATCACTCCCAACACATTTATTAATTACATTGCAACTTTACAATGGAGAATACCAGTGGACACCCCTCAACAAGTGATCCAGTTGACATCACCAGCATGAAGACACAGCAGCGTACGTGCCCCTGATGTCATGCAGAGGAGGGCACATCACTCTGGTATTCTTGCCAAAAATGCATAGCCTCAGACGTACAAGGAAACATCAAACACAAATTGAGGTACAATCTACAAAATAACTGGCCACTACTCTTCAAAAATGTCACGGCTATTAAAGATGAGAAGAGAGGGAGGCACTGTCACAGAGGAGACAGGTTGAGGAGACGTGACAACTAGATGCCACGTGGGATCCTGGAACATCAAGGACACTAGTGGGGAAAATGGTGAAACCCGAACAAAGTTTGTAGTTTGGCTAACGTCAAAACAGGAAAAGTGTCTCTTCTTTAAAAGCAGTGAAAACAGAGACCAGAAGCCAAATCACAGTTACTCTCCAGCCCCTAGAAGCATAATTGCTTCAAAACACTGACCCGGCTCGGACTGCTAACACCCTTCAGCACCAGCTAAACATGCCATGGGGTCCGACCACCATCTTAACCTGGTTCCGCTCGTCCTTAACTTGTAGAGAAATAAACTGCCTATTACTTTAAATCAAATGCGCGCACACACGCGTGCACGCGCACACACACACACAGCAAATCTGGGCACACTACTGATAACTTGTACATTACCTAAAAAAATCTTGGAATTCCTCCTTTTTGGTAAAGCTCCACCAGATGCCCCTTTTACTTTCTGAAAAGAAAACAAGAAATTGTTAAAATGCAGCCCATGAAACGGATGATTAGGGGGTGGGGTGGGAAGACAGTATCTCGCAGAGGTTCCCAGTTTTTATAAAAGTCCAGAGGATTAGAGATTCCAGGATAAACAGGAACTTGACCCAGGTCAGTGGAGGCAAGTGAAGGGGAATGCCATTGTTCCACCTGATTATTTTCACCAAGTTATAAAGAAAACACTTCTGGAAAGGGAAGTGGAACCAGGCATCAAAGTGAAATACATGCTCCAACTTCAAATCGACACGTTCTCCCAAGAGGCCCAGTCCACGCCCAGTGCTGGGGCCACTCTGGAAGGGGTGGCACCCACAGGGGGGATACTGGTTCCCTTTCGACCTCCTAGGTCCCCACTGGCTGGGCATGGGCATGCCCAACAATTACTGTTGAAAGACTTAATAAATACTAATACATAGTCACCGATATTCTGGTCATATTACATCAATCTCTCCTCCCTAACATTTCTGGAGCGCTGCCCCATGGCTGGCTATGTCGTGCATTTTCTACCTGTCATGGAAGTAAGTCCCAGAGCAATGAAATAGACACCAATCCAGTGTTCAGGCAAAAGAGGTCATGCATTACCTTCTGACACCCACACAAAAAACTGTACCCTCAAATAGGAGTATAAAAATGTCTGTTTCCAATGCCCCAAACAACATCTCCACATCGTGTGTTCTTCCGGCTAACAGAAAAGAGCACGCTTCCGACACACGGAGGGGTGCAGGTTGAACCCCAACACCTTCTCACGTGGTCGCATGTCATGGCAGCATCAAGGCCTTGCTGCCTCTTTAGCTTGTGCTCCTCTTAGTCCTAAGTCTCCTTCCCCACATTTCAGCATTTGGCATTGAAGGCTGACTCATCTTTGTGATTCTCACATTACATCTTTATAGCTTCTACTCTTAAGTTTCTAGTTCACGTCCTAGGAATGTGAAAATTATTGAACACCTTAGCTCAGAAACTGTCTCTCCAAATACTAATTAACGCCAAAAGCATGTCCCTCTCTTGGAATCTTCTCCTCCAGGTCTCAAGGGCCTCTGTTCCTCTCCCTCCACTTACCTGCCCCAAAAAGGAATAAACCTGCACTGAAGGCACATTTAACAATCCCGGAGGTCCCTGACATCTCTCTACAGAAGTTTATGGTATCCTTCCTTCAAACGTATCGCCTTCCATAGTAACATTGGGAGGAAGTGACAGTTCTTCTGCAGGTGGAAGGTGTGGCCAAAGATACTCAGGTAAGGAGAGCAGCAGGCATGGCCTATAGCGGCTGCTCAGCCAGCATTTGCTGGATGGATGATGGATGATGAACATAAAAACGGATATGCTAACCACAGGGAATTCAGCAGGTACAAGAGGGGTGGGGGCAGAAGTAGAGTATCCCAGACAAAAAACAAAAACCACGTACAAAGGCGTGAAATCAGTGTGTTCCAAAAAGAAGAAGTGGCTTGCTAGGTCTAGAGCACAAAGCTGGTTGAGTAAGAGTGAGGATTAGAGAGGCCGCATGGGCCAGACCTTGGAGGGCCTTGTAATCACCTGCAAAAGAGTCTGGACTTCATCCTGAAACAAAGGAAGAGACATCAGAGATTATAGCCACAGAGGCACAGACAGAGGCACTGGGAAGATCACTCTGCGTGCAGCACGCAGACTGGGCAGATGAAAGGTGGCAAGTTTGAAGGAAGGAGACTAGTCAGCACTCATCCTTGTAAGGGATGATGAGCACTCAGACAAGAAGAACAGGGGTAAAGGGGACAGGATGTACTTCAGAGCTCCTTTGGAAGCCCAGATAACGAGACTTGGTGACCAACCAGTCGTGGAATGAAAGAAGGGTTCAAAGGATGTAAGGTCTCCAGAGTTCAAGACAAAGGACAACTCTGAGAAAGAGGAAATAACTCACTCACTCCAGACACAGTGAACCTGTAATACTGACGAGATGTTTCGAGTAGGAAAAGCCAGGTCAGAGTCAGATGGTCAGATTTTCGCTCTGGAGAGACACTGGTTTGGAGTCATCGGCTCGGAGACAGTGGTGAAACAAAGACATGCCCGGCAGTGATGCGGAAGGTCAGCTTTCAGGGGAAGAAGACAGGAGGGTCGAGAGGCACCCTAGGAAATGCCGGTGTTTACGGGCAAGTGAGGAAAGCGATGCTCGGATGTGAAAAGGGGCAGTCTGAAAGACAGGAATCCAGGGAAGAATGGTGCCCGAGAAGCAGGGAGGAGCAGTTCCAAAAGGAAAAACGAGTTCAAATACTGAGAAGTCAAGTAAAAGCAGGACTAAAACATAGCCAGCGAGTGTGACACGGACGAGGTCGCTGACAACGTCACGGTGGAGATGGATGAACAGGAGATCAGTCAGACTGCCAGGCTGACCTTAAGGGAAGGTGTAGGAGAGATGATGAGAAGAGAAAAGTTTTTAAAGAAGCCTTAATTGAAGGATGGGACAAGCAAAGGAGGACACATTAGAGGGACATTTTGTGGTATCTTCTTTTTTAAGGTGGGAGGGGAAAAAGCCAGAAGAGGGAGCGGTTGGGGATGTCAGAGGGAGCGGAGTGAATGAAGGAGCAGGTTTCCCGAGGCAGAAGGAAACTGGACCAGGAGGTCAGAGAACACAGCTTTCTGCTGAGATGGAGAAACTGGGTGCAGATGAGTTCCCAGGAGGCGAGAGAGGGGTTTGGGGAGTTCCTGTCCAGGGGTTCCTGCTTTCTCTGTAAAGTACAAGCCAAATCATTTTCTGAGAACCAGGAGGGAGGAAAGCATTTGAATTCTGGAGAGGGAGACGGTACAGACGAGGTTTGCTGGGCAGTGACAGGGCCCAGCAGAGGGGGGCCAGGGACAGGAGATGGTCCGAGACCCCGTGGCACACGGGTTCCCAGCGGTGTGCACAGGAAAGCAGAGGACGATACTAATGCCATGACTGCCTGGATTCTAGAGGACAGTTAAGGACAAGGCGATGAGGGTCAGTTGCGGGTCTTGATGATAAGGGAATGTTCAAAGTCACGGATCCTGACACGCAGGCTAACCAAACAGCGGAAGGGGCTGCCTGGACAAGTCACAGGCTGTCCAAGGAGAACAACAGATCAACACAGGAATAAATGAGTGAAAGAGCTAAACTAAGAGAGGGTCGTGGTCAGAGAGTGAAGTCTTTAACCTCGAATTTCAGAGGCAGAGCTAACGGGACAAGACTACCAGCATTCTGCAATTCTGCCCTGACTTTGTGGCCGTGAGCAAGTTATTTCAAGTCTCTGGGCCTGTTCCTTTTTTCCTTCTAGTTTTATGAAATTTCCATCACTTTATACGAAGAAATATGTGGGATAAAGCAGACAGACGTCACAAGAATTGCTATGTCCTGACTAACAGGAGTAGTGAACATAAATCATATAATATTAGGCCAACATTAAATTATTTTAAAGCCAATCATTGAGTTTATAGCTTATCTGACCCCCTGGCCTTTGTTCCTCCTCTTCTCCTTACTCTCCTCACTGTCTAATTTTGGGATCTCTCCTCACTGTCTAAAATAAACAGAGGACATGTTAAGTAGGCTAGAGTGAGAGATTAGATGAACTTCAAATCAGCACTGATGATTTAGAAGATCCAAGACAGTCCACAAACTATTAGGACTAAAGTGAAAGTTGAATAATGTTGCTAAAAATAAAATCAACATTTGGCAATCAATAACATCCCCAAACACCATCAATCACCAATTAAAATGCATAAAAAAATAAAAGATAGCAGTTGCAATAGTTACAAAAATTACAGAGAACCTTTGAAAAAGCTTCTTTACTGAAAATTACAAAATATTATCAAAAGACATCAAAGAGCCCTGAGTAAATAGAAGGGCATGCCACGTTGAACCGTCATTCAATAAATATTTATGAAGTGCCTACTATATGCTGGGTACTGTTAAGTGCTGAGGACACAGAGGTGAACAAAACAGACATAAATACCTGCCCTCACCCTGGCCAGTGTGGCTCAGTTGGTTGGGCAGTGTCCCATGTACCAAAAAGTCTGGTTTGATTCCCGGTCAGGGCACATGTCGGGGTTGAGGGCTAGATCTCTGGTAGGGAGAGTGCAGGAGGCAGCCAATCAGTGTTTCTCTCTCACATCAATGTTTCTCTCCCCCTCTCCCTCTCCCTTCTTCTCTAAAATCAATAAAAACTTTTAAAAAAAAATACCTGCCCTCAGGAAGCTTACACCATGATATGGATTATAGATTAATCTACAGATTGAATGTGAGGGTGATCAAAATCTCAACAGGATTTTTTTAATCAGACAAACTGATTCCAAAATCCATGTAGAAAAATGTCAAAACCCAAGAAAGTTCTGGGGAAAATTAACACGGAAGAAGGACTTGCACGTCCAGGTTTTAAGCTTGTGGCACCGATGCAGAGACAGAAAACTAAGACCAACAGAAAAGAGCTGAGCCCCCAAATGGCCCAAGGGGAAATGGCAGGTTGGAATATAAAAAGATGGCACCTGGTCATCGATATGGAGAATAAAATGTAAATTCACACACTTCACAGAAAAAAATATATATATATAAATATATAAATTAAAGGCCTAAAATGTCAAAGTGTGTGTGTGCGTGCGCACACACACACACACACACACACACACTTCTAAAAGAATAAAAGTATCAGAAGAAATATCTTTATGACCTTTAGGTAGAAAACAATTTCTTAGACATGATACATAAAGCACAATTTATAAAGAGAAAAGATTAGCACATCAAAATTCAAAACTTGTTTTACAAAATAATTCCTAAACAAAGCAAAAGGGTTTTATATTCAGAATGTGAAAAGAACTAAATAAAACTTTTAAGAAAAAGATAAACCCATAGCGAAATAGGCCAAAAATATAAATAGGCAACTCAGGGAAGGGAAAACCAAAATGGTCAATAAACATATATAAAGATGGTCAACTATCACAAAATGCCAAATATTTAGATGCTACTTCACAACCATCAGATTGGCAAAATGGAAAGTCTGACCAAGTGTTGGTGAGGCTGTGGAAAGCCAGGAGTTCACAGTTACTGCAGACAGAAGTATAAACTGGTGCAACCAATCTGGGGAGGAATTGTCAATAACTAGTAAAAATAGGACAGGCACACCCATAAGCCAGCATTACCACTTCTACATCTATTTCCTTAAAAAATATTGTGCATCCCAGGAGAAAACGATAAAAAAAAATGTTCATCGTTGCATTGTTAATAGAAACAAAAACAATAGAAACAATGTAAATGTTCATTAGTTGGAGAATAGAATAATAAATGACAATACCAAACAACTAGTAAAATGAATTAAGTACACCCAAATGTACCACACTGTAAAACAGATTTTAAAAACAATGCTGAAAGGGAAAGTTTTACACATGGAATGATAGGTAACAGTATGATAGTATTTATCTACATCTTCAAAACACACCATCATGCTACACATCGATGCTGAATGCCTACACATACATAAGATAGAACGACATGCATAGGAATGAGAAACAGCATTTTCACAGCTATGGTTACTTCTAAGGAGTGAGGGAAATACAAGGGACATCAGCTTTCAGGAAAGCTCTTTCTCTTGCTGGAAAAAAAAAAACCTAAAGCAACATTATCCAGATATTTTTTATTTCTGATTTTTGGATCCATGAGTGGTTCTAGTATAATTTTCTGCACATTTTTAAATTTTTTTTACTTCATTTTTTTTTCAATCAGTCAACCTACATTTTCTTAACTCCAAGCAGAGGTTCAGAGGAAAAGAAAAATAAAACTGGCTCGGGTAAGATTTGGGGGGAAGCTATGAACTTCTACAGACAGTCCTGTTGTTTGTTCCCATCATCAGGAGAATCAGAGTTGTGCGGGCACAGTAAAATCTCCATGTGACACACACACTAAGACAACGTTACAGGAAAGGTATCAGGCAGTTCCCCAAAGGTATATCTCTCACCTCTCGTACGTGTCTTTTCAGGTGCATGTATACACTCTGTCCAGTTTTCCGAAAATGTCTTTCAACATGTTCCCTTCCAAAGGCCAAAAATGTATTCATGCAAACATAGAGTCCACCTTCAGAATTCTAGAAGAAAGACACAGGTTACAACATTAGCCAAGGATGCCTCACCAAGTAGTCTAGATATAGACAAAGGGAAGGGGAAGGAAGGCAAACGATGAAGACAAAGCCTGTCCACAGCCATTGCAGTGACCCCCAGGGGCTCCACAGCCACCACAGTGACCCCCAGGGGCTCCACGATCATTGCAGTGACCCCCAGGGGCTCCACAGCCATTGCAGTGACCCCAGGGGCTCCACAGCCACCACAGTGACCCCCAGGGGCTCCACAATCATTGCAGTGACCCCCAGGGGCTCCACAGCCATTACAGTGACCCCCAGGGGCTCCACAATCATTGCAGTGACCCCCAGGGGCTCCACAGTCATTGCAGTGACCCCCAGGGGCTCCACAGCCATTACAGTGACCCCCAGGGGCTCCACAATCATTGCAGTGACCCCCAGGGGCTCCATAATCATTGCAGTGACCCCCAGGGGCTCCACAGCCATTACAGTGACCCCCAGGGGCTCCACAATCATTGCAGTGACCCCCAGGGGCTCCACAGTCATTGAGTGACCCCCAGGGGCTCCACAGCCACCACAGTGGCAGCTCCTGCTCAGACCCTGGGTTCCAGGTGCTCCTGGACAACTGAGGGGCATCTCAGACCCTCAGAGGCCCAGGCAGTGAATATGGTTGTCTGACTCTCCGAACTGGGGTAAATGACAAGGAACAGAAGAAAGTTGGCAAGCGATCCAACTACCCCCACTGCAGTGGTTTGTCATCGTTATTCCTTCATTTGTCTCTGCAAGTCTTCAGGAACATGGATTTTTCAGACTCTTTTAGCAGGACAGGGTTCTTCAAAGATATTGTTCCTTGAAGATAAGACACTCGATGGTATCCACTAATTATAACAATTTAATGCATAAATAATAATTTAATAAGTAAATGCTAAAGGATGGAGTCCTATAATAATCATAGCTACGTATTATTGCATGCCTGACATGTGCCAGGTGCTTTGCATATATTACTTCTAATCCAAACAATACTGCAAGCTGCTTTATTATTATTTCCACTTTATAGTTTTGAAAAAAACTAAGGATAAGACACTTGCCCAAGTTCACACAACTTGGATGTGTCAGAGTTCAACTTGACTCTCTTCCTCTTTTTCTCTCTCTATGAAATATTTCAAATATTACTTCATTATAGACAATACTGCTACAATGAATAGTCAAAAATATTGTTCATATTTTTGATACTTGATTTTCTATCCCAATCTCATCTTTCCTTTTTCTTCAATCTGCTTAACATGCTTCTCTGTAAACTTAGCATCTAAAATTAGCCATTGTGCCCTGGTTGGTTTGGCTCAGTGGTTAGAGTGTCGGCCCATGGACCAAAGAGTTGCAGGTTCGATTCCTGTCAAGGGCACATACCTTGGTTACAGTTCATCCCTGACCCTGGTCAAGGTTGTGCGAGAGGCAACCAAATCGATGTTTCTCTCTCTCTCTGTCTCTCTCTCTCTCTCTGTCTCTCTCCCTCCTTCTCCCTCCCACTCTATCTGAAGATAAATGAAGAAATGTCCTTAGGTGAGGATTTAAGAAAAATAAAAACTCAAATTAGCCATTGTGCCTTAGTGGGAGTGGATTTTTATTAGTCTCACTCCTGCAAATTAAAAAATATGTTTTCTTAAATATCCATCAGAATTGCCAATAAACACTTATTAAAATTCCTTACATTGCATTTTTTTTTTAATTTATTGAATGTTTTGGTGACATTGGTTAATAAAATTATATAGGTTTCAGGAGTACAATTCTATTTTGTTTGTTTGCTTATTTGTTTGTTTGTTTGTTAATCCTTACTCGAGGATATTTTTTCCATTGATTTTTAGAGAGCATGGAAGGAGGAAGGGAGGGGGGAGAGAGAGAGACATATTGATTGGCTGCTTCCCACACGTGCTCCGACCAGGGCTGGGGATTGAACCTGCAACCCAGGTATGTGCCCTTGACCAAAAATCAAACCCACAACCCATTGGTGCACAGGCTGATGCTCTAACCATTGAGCAACACTTGTCAGGGCTCAGGTGTACTGTTCTATATAATACATCATCTGTATATTTTATGGTGTTCACCACCCCCGGTCAAGTCTCCTTCCACCACCATTTATCTCTCCTTTACAATGTCAAAACATACACTGATACTCATTACCAATCTATAAAAATAATTTTTAGCCCTGGCCAGCTTGGCTCAGCAGTTAGAACGCTGGCCCACAGGCCAAAGAGTCCCGGGTTCAATTCCAGCCAATGGCACGGACCCTGGTTGGGGTCGTGCATGTGACAACCAATCAATGTATCTCTCTCACATCAATGTGTGTGTGTCTCTCTCTCTTCCTCCTTCTATCCCTCCCACTCTGTCTGGAGATAAATGTAAAAATATCCTCAGGTGAGGATAAAAAATAATAATAATAATAATTTTTAAAGTTCTAATAATTCAAGATTGTTTATTTTTTTATTACTAATAAAATTCTCCAACACTGTGTTTGTGGTTTATAAGCCAGACATAAAGGAGTCTTGTCACAAAGAGATTATAACAACACTAGTTCAAATGCATGCCTATTATCATAGCATAGACAATGCAAAAGTCAAGGGAAAAAGGCATAAAGATCACAAAGGAGGAAGTAAAAAGCCTTAATTTGCTGATGATATTATAATCTATATGGAAAATCCTACAGAATCTACAAACTACTAACAACTAGTAATACTAATGCATGAGTTTAGCAAGGTCATGGGATACAGGTTAATAGACAAAAATCTATTTCAAATTTATATCCTGTCAACTAATACTTACAAATGAAATCTTTAAAACTGGACTATAAAATAGCATCCAAAAAACTCAGAATTCTATACCTGTGCTTCTGGATAAATGTTTCCCTTAAATGAGATCATTTAAGTAAAATTAGAAAAGTTTTTCACATTACATTCGTTTGATCAATAAGTCAGGTAAATTTTTTTTAAAGATTAAAAAAAAATAATAATAAACATGTTCTTTTGCATAGTCCTAACCCTTGAGAAAAAATTACTTCATCATAATAGGCAGTTAATTATTCACTAAGCCTATTATATTGAGTACCACATATTTAAAACACACACACACACACACCCCACATCTATTCTCTTCCAATAAAATGTAATTCTGCCCAAAAGAATGAAAACAAGAAGATACACTGGGGAAAATGAAGACAGGTTGTTATACAGTCTCTGAGCTTCAGTATCAACCTCTATAAATATGGCTGTTCCAATAATTCCCACCTCACAGGGTCTCATGAAGTTCAAAGACGATAAAATACACTCTGTGCTATGATGCACATAAATGTTGGAATTGTTCATTGTAAGCTACAAGTTCTGAGCTACATGTTTTATAAGGGGGGAAACAAGCAGATGGAAGAAAACGTGAATCTGACCACCAAACAGGCTAAGTAAGGGTAACAAATATTAATCTGTCAGAAAAATACATTAGGCAACTAGTGGAAGAACCAAGAAATGACCAAGCAGCAGCAGCAGCAGCAAAAAAAAAAAAAAAAAATGTTTACGTGTATACTAGCTATATAATGCAAGAGTTTATCATCTCTAAAATAATCATGAAGTCTTTGCCAATTTTATTGCCAAGAGATTTTGATTTATTAGAGAATTTGATAAAAATTTAATATACCAAACATTCATTCTCAATTTCTGGAGTCACTTGATATTGTCACAAAGTCCATAACCAAAGAGAAAAATGCTCACGGCGAATAGCCCCACACAGTACTAACTGACAGTGAAATGCAACTTGAAGAATAAGAGGAAAGAATACAAAATGATACTTTTTTCAAGTCATGGTGGTAGAGTGCTTTATTAAAACAGATTACAAATGAAATTCATATATATTGGGTTAACTTCTGACATAAATGGTAGCATAACAATGGAGATTACAAAAACATCTTCATTCTGTATGTCAAAAACTCTTAATATGGCAAACCACAAGAAACACAAAAATGGGGGAGGGAATCGCTAATAAAAGTTACTGTTACACTTAGACTTTAGTATAGAAGAAAACTAACCTGGATCCACATCTTATATCAATCAGATCCAAATAACATTATAAGAACTAAAGAGCAGAGCAACACATTTATCCCACTTGTAAAGGGGAAAATAACTTCTGGCCACGAAAATATAGAATCACAAAAGATTCTAATGAAAAAGTTTTATACCACAAAATATAATGAAGCAAATGGAAAACCAACAATAACAGAATGGGTAAATGAAGAAAAGCTTATATGAAAACTATAAAATTACAATATGTTAACATCCAGGTTCAACTTGCTAGGGGTTTATTTATTATTTATTGTAAGATTGTTTAGTTTTAAATGTGAAAAAATATTAAAATCAAATCATCACATCCTCACCACCTCCTGAAGTAAGCACATTAAAACAACCTCACAGTGAGTACATATGCCCACTACACTATAGCAAAAAAAGCATTATAATCACACAGCCTGGAGCCACAGAAAAGTCTGTATATCTACTCCCACAACATAAATCGATTCTGACCTTCCACAGAGCAATACAACTTTGGGTACAAACTCCGGAAACCCGAAAGAAAGAGACTTTGTTCAAAAATATTCATGATGCACTATTTCTAACAGAAAAAAATAGCAATGGCTCCAATAGAGGAGCTAAGAACCTGTGGCACATAAACACAACGAAATATGTGAACATTATCTAAAATGACACCTTTATGAACTGTGTGCGATGCATGTAGAGCATATGTATAGGACTGTATATAATGTGCAGAGAAAAATAATGTTCATGAAAAAAGACATGCTGATGACGAGGAAAGGGAAGGCAGAAGGTGAGCTGCACACAGGCGAAGACCCGACATGAAAATGGAATGTGACCAATGGTTTTAGATTTATTTAAGTCCTTGACTTTGGGGCCCGCAGCCTCACCTCCCATTAAATTACCTCCATGCTTGGTCTAGTGTGGTATTTCCCAAACGACTGT